AGTTTCACTGTGTTAGCCAGGATGGCCTTGATCTCCTGACCTCGTGATCCTCCCACCTTGGCCTCCCTAAGTGCTGGAATTAGACGCACAAGCCACTGCACCTGGCCCTGTCGTGTTTTTGAGTACATCTCTACGTATAATTTTTCAAGTGATTGTTCTAGTTATTACATTATATATTATTAAAAATTATATACATATACATATATTTTTTTCTTAGTCTACTGGAATCAACAGTTTACCAGTTGGAATAAAATGTAGAAACCCTGCCTCCCTGTAGGTACCTTTACCCTCCACTTTTTTTTTTCCTTCCTTCCTTCCTTCCTTCTCTTTCTTTCTTTCTTTCTTTTCTTTCCTTCCTTCCTTCCTTTTTCTTTCTTTCTTTTCTTTTCTTTCTTTCTTTCCTTTCTTTCTTTCCTCTTTCTTCCCTTCCTTTCTGACGGAGTCTTACTCTGTCACCCAGGCTGGGTTGGGATCTTGGCTGACTGCACTTTCTGCCTCCTGGGTTCAAGAGATTCTCCTACCTCAGCCTCCCAAGAAGCTGGGATTACACGGGTGCACCACCACACCTGGCTGATTTTTGTGATTTTGGTAGAGACAGGGGTTTCACCATGTTGGCCAGGCTGTTGCTAACTCCTGATGTCAGGTGATCCCCCCGCCTCAGCCTCCCAAAGTCCTGGGATTACAGGCATGAGCCACCGGCCCCAGCTCCCCATTTCTAATATAATTGTCTTAAATCTGTCCTTGATGTATATTGAATCTCAGTAGATTTACATCAGTTATAATTTTTGCTTTAACTGCCGGACATAATTTAGAAAACTCAAGAGGAAAAGGAAAATAATAATTATCCACATTTTTGCTCTTTCCATTGTTCTTTCTTTATTGTTGATATACCCAGATTCCTTCTTTTATCATTTATCTTTAGAAAACTTCCTTTAGCCATTCTTTTAAATATTTATTTATTTTTTTCTTGATTAAAAGAATCTGAACTGCCTTACTATCCCAAGCCATTCTTTCAAAGTAGGTATGCTGGTTACAAATTCTATTAGTTTTCTTTCAACTGAAAGTCTTGATTTGCTCTTTATTCTCAGGGGGTATTTTTGCTGAACGTAGAATTCTGGATGGACAGTTGTTTTAGCACAAAACTGTCATGCTACCTCCCTTTTTTTTTTTGTGCCATGATTTCTGATGAGAAATGTCCTTGGAAGGTGATTTTTTTTTTAACTTTAGTTTTTAGAAGTTTGAGTATAATATGTTTTGGATTTTTTTTTTTTTTTGCTGTCTTATTTGCGGTTTTTTCAGTATTGAATCTGTTGGTTTCTTTATTATTTTTTTCTTCCCCCCTTTTTTTTCTTGCCACATTTGGCAGTTTTAGGCATTATTTCTTTGCATACTTTCTGGTTTTGCCTGCTTTTCTTCTTTCTCTTTTCCTTCTGGAACTTGTAATCCATGAATGCTTATGTATGTATGTATGTATCTATGTATGTATGTATGTCAGAGTCTTGCTCTGTCACCCAGGCTGGAGTGCAGTGGTGCAATCTTGGCTCACTGCAACTTCTGCCTCCCAGGTTCAAGCGATTCTCCTGCCTCAGCCTCCTGAGTAGCTGGGATTACAGGCATCAGCTACCATGCCTGGCTAATTTTTTTTTTGTATTTTTAGTAGAGACTGGGTTTCACTATGTTGGACAGGCTGGTCTCAAACTCCTGACCTTGTGCTCTGCCCGCCTCAGCCTCCCAGAGTGCTGGGATTACAGGCATGAGCCACCATGCCTGGCCCATGAATGCTAAATCTTTTCTTGTATATCCTCGATATCCTTGAGACTCTGGGCTCTGTTTTTTTTTTTTTTTTTTTTCCTTCAGTCTGTTTTTTTTTCTGAGATAGAGTTTTATACTCTTGTTGCCCAGGCTGGAGTGCAGTGGCATGAACTCGGCTCACCACAACCTCTGCCTCCCGGGTTCAAGTGATTTTCCTGCCTCAGCCTCTCAAGTAGCTGGGATTATAGGCATGCGCCACCACAATCGGCTAATTTTGTATTTTTAGTGGCGATGGGGTTTCTCCATAGTGGTCAGGCTGGTCTTGAACTCCCGACCTCAGGTGATTGCCCACCTTGGCCTCCCAAAGAGCTGAGATTACATGCGTGAGCCGCTGCGCTGGCTTTTCCAGTCTATTTTCTCTCTTTTGTTAGGACTGGGTAATTTGTTACTCTTTCAAGTTCAGTGTTTCTTTCCTGTGTCCTTTTCTTTTGTTGAGGGTGTCTCTTGAGATTTTTATTTTGGTTATTGCAATTTTTAAATATGGTTTTGTCTTTATATCTTGTTTCTTTGCTGTGTCTTTGCATTTCCTAGCTGAGACTTCCTTTTATTTTCCATTTGTTCCTAGCTGGGCATGGTGGTGCGCACCTGTAGTCTTAGCTACTCGGGAGGCTGAGGCAGGAGAACTGCTTGAACCCAAGAGGCGGAGGTTGCAACGAGCTGATAATAGCACCACTGCACTCCAGCCTGGGCAACGGAGTGAGACTCGGTCTCAAAAAAATAAAAGACTTTCCTTTTCTGGGAATTACAGAACAGAATGTAAATGTTATAAATTTTAACAGAAAAAAATAATATCAATTTGAGCAGTGTACAAGGAAAGGAGAGAGTATAAAGACACTTGCCTCTTACAGTGGAATCAAAAGGTGTTTTTTAAAACTGACAAAGTATCAGAGGCATTAGTAAACATATAGTTAAAATGTTAACATTGGAATAAGTTTAATAACATAATTAATCAAAAGCAAGTGATGAAGGGAAGAAAGGGGAGGCAAGAATATGTGGCAATACCAACCTGGTCACTGATTACAGCAGGAAGGAGTCAAGAGTATTTGAGATTGCTCATTGAGGCATTTTATGATGGCTCCTTAAATCCTTGTTTGATAATTGTATGTCTCTGTCATCTCGGTGGCATTGTCTATTCATTGTCTTTTCTCTTTTCAGTTGAGGTGTTACTGGTTTTTGCTGTGGTGAGAGTTTTAAAATGGAAACCTACATACTCTGGATATTAGATTAAGAACTTCTTATTTTAATTTTGTGTTTTAGCAAGTCTTTTCTTACACTGCTTCAGCAGGGGAATGGGGATACCACTTCATTATTGCCAGTTTGGGGATCAGAGTTCGGGTTCTCCTATTGGCCTTTGTTGGCCCTCACTTGGGGAGGAGCTCCGTGTTACTGCTGGGTCGTGGTAGAGGTGGGGGACTGTGGTATGTTGTGGTGTATTAGAGATAGCTTGGGGAACATAGATTATTTAGACACATTTCTTCATTGTGTTCATAAGAACTGATTGGGCCACATCTTGGTTTCCATAGGTATAGACAAAATATTTGAAATAAAAGCCCTATATACTTTTATGCTCTTGCATGGATACAGCTGCTTCCTGTAAAGTAGTTAAAAGAAGTATACTTTGTGTGTGTGTGTGTGAACATAGGTTTATTTTTTCTATTTCTGTGAAGTATGCCATTGGTATTTTGGTAAGAAACATACTTATTCTATATATCACTTTAAGTAGTAAGTCACAAATATTTTGATGTTTTAATTCAGAGAAATTTTATCTAGCACTTACATATGTATAGCTAGAGAGCTGTTCTTTCATCAGAAATACATTAAAGATAGTGAGATGTCATTAGTATATTTATGGAATTAGGTTTATGTTAGAATTATTTAGGTATAGTTTTACCATTTCTCAAACTCACAATGAATATTTTAGTGGAGTAGTATGTTAATTTAACAAATGTTTCTCTAATGCCTATTCTAATAGGAACCTGCTTAGGTGCAAATCCTATCTGTGTCTCCTAGAAGCTGTGTGACCTTGATATATTGTTAGGCCTCCATTTCTGTAAAATGCAGATAATAGTACCTTTCTCAAAAGCTACTATGAGGCTTAAATAAAATAGTGTGCAAAAGGAAACAGTTAGCAGTGTTCAGTAAATGTCAATTATTATTATTAATGACATCTGAGCCTCCCACTGGAGAAACAGTAAAAGATGTATGTTATCTGACTGCAAGGGATCTACAGTCTAGTTTGGTAGACTAATCTTTAACAATCGTAATTCATCCTGAAAAATGCCATAATGTAAGTATAGAAGGGCCAGTGTAAGCATCAAACACATGTGCAGAACTACAGGTTGACAAGGAAGCCTTCAAGGGATGAGATGGTGTTTATGTAGAGACCTGATAGATGAAAATACGCTCTTGGAAGAGCTCAGAGTGTGACCAGGGGTTAGGAATTTAAGTGGAAAATGGAATCTTTGTGATGCCTTCCACATTTCATTAGATGTTAAATTCTGGAATGCAGTTTAATATGATTATTTACTATTAAATGTATCCTCAAATATTTAAGGTTAAGATCATTAAAATAATGTATTATGAAGTCATTAATATTTGGAATTTTAATATAATAGTTACTTGATTATGGTCCTTTTTTTGGGTTACAGATATTAACCAATAACATTCTAATTTATCCTTTTAATGGGAAGTCGCGGCTTTTCCCACCTCCCCGTAACAAAACTAAAAATACATTTGAAGGCTATGTGATGTAGAGTTTTATTGTAGACATTATTTTTCAGTTTATTCTCCTCTTCTGTATCATACAGAATTTCCTCCCCTTCTATATTGTATTTTAAATTTGGAAGCTACTGATGTATAGACATTTCACTTACAATCTTGAGGGATTTTTCCAGATAAAACTGAGAAATTTAGTAATGTAGCTTCTGTCAACATAAAAGCAGAGCAGCTTAGTTTTTTTGTACATTCTGAAAATCATACCAGAATAGAACAGCCTGTTTCTGTATTAGTTTCTGTATTATTTTATGTGCTTGTTGACATTGTCATTTCTGTGAGCACCCTTGACTCCACATGGAACCCTAACAGTGGAAATTTACTCGTATGTATGTAGGGATGTTATCCCTTTTGATCATTTAAATAGATATGGGTAGTGATAGAAATCTGTGGTTTTTTTTTTTTTTTTTTTTAAGGTATTGCCATCAGAGAGTCAGCAAAGGTAGTTGACCAAGCCCAAAGGAGAGTGTTGAGGGGAGTTGATGACCTTGACTTTTTCATAGGAGATGAAGCCATCGATAAACCTACATATGCTACAAAGGTAAACTTTGGACAGGAATTTGCTTCTCTACGTGTAGAGCAGCAGGATGAGTAATGCAAAATAGTCATCTAGAAGTTGCGTTTGTGAGTTGTAGAATGTGTTTATGTTCTTTTTTTTTTTGAGTTGGAGTCTCTGTCGCCAGGTTGGAGTGCAGTACAGTGGCGTATTCTCAGCTCACTGCAACTCCGACTTCCTGGTTCAAGTGATTCTGCTGCCTCAGCCTCCTGAGTAGCTGGGATTACATGCACACACCACCACACCCAGCTAATTTTTGTATTTTTTTTTTTTTTTTTTTTTTTGAGACGGAGTTTCGCTCTTGTTACCCAGGCTGGAGTGCAATGGCGCGATCTCGGCTCACCGCAACCTCCGCCTCCTGGGTTTAGGCAATTCCCCTGCCTCAGCCTCCTGAGTAGCTGGGATTACAGGCACACGTCACCATGCCCAGCTGATTTTTTGTATTTTTAGTAGAGACGGGGTTTCACCATGTCGACCAGGATGGTCTCGAACTCTCGACCTTGTGATCCACCCGCCTCGGCCTCCCAAAGTGCTGGGATTACAGGCTTGAGCCACCGCGCCCGGCTAATTTTTGTATTTTTAGTAGAGACGGGATTTCACCATGTTGCCCCGGTTGATCTCGACCTCTTGACCTTGTGATCCACCCACCTTGGCCTCCCAAAGTGCTGGGATTACAGGTGTGAGCCACTGTGCCCAGCTGGAATGTGTTTATATTCTTATGTTTGAATAGAGGTGGTGCTGGTGGTTGTTTTGGAAGAGGGGTATTTTTGATTGGAGAATGAAGGGAATTAACAGATCCCTGGAATGCAGAATTCTTTTCTAGGGTGTTTTAAATTCCTTCTAAAGGTATGTGCATGAATCAGGCTGCATGAATCAGGAAACACCAGGTCACACATGAAAGCAAGATCCCCTCCTCTGGAAAATTGCAGGTTGACTAACTTGTCAGACATTTTTTTTTTTTTTAAGCTCCAGATCCAGTTTTATGGCAATTAGCTGCAGTTTTCTGTTTCTCATTTTCGTTGTTGTTGTTGTTGTTGTTATTTTAGTGATAGGTCTTACTTTGTCACCCAGGCTGGAGTGCTGTGGTGCCATCTTGGCTTGCTGTAGCCTCAGCCTCTCACCTCAACTTCCCAAGTAGATGGGACAACAGGCACGTACCACCATGGTTGGCTAATCTTGTAATTTTTTGTAGAGTCAGGGTCTTGCCATGTTGCTCAGGCTGTTCTCGAACTCCTGGGCTTAAGTGATACTCCTGCCTTGACTTCCCACAGTGTTGGATTAGAGGCGTGAGCCTGATTCTTTGTTTGTAGAAATGAGTGGAGGAGAATATGAGCAATAATGTAACTTAATCTTTTTTTTTTTTTTAATGCTGTCATTTCTTTACAAGAATTAACAAAAACCGCAACAAAAAGGAGACCTTTATTCTGTAATATTGCAGTTTCTTCTGAACCACTGTTAAACAGTTGCTCTTATTGTCATGAACTGAGGCTTGACAACTCTGGTTTCTCATCCTCCAGTGGCCAATAAGACATGGAATCATTGAAGACTGGGATCTTATGGAAAGGTTCATGGAGCAAGTGGTTTTTAAATATCTTCGAGCTGAACCTGAGGACCATTATTTTTTAATGGTGAGTAACTGGAACTAAAAGGAACATATTCCGGTAAATTCCAAATTGCTTAGATTTTAAACTGAAGATTATTCTTTTCTAGGGTGTTTTAAATTCCTTCTAAAGATATGTGCATGAATCAGGCTGCTTTTTTGAAAATAGTGGAAAGCTCAATAAAAATGTTCAGAACAGGTTGGGCGCGGTGGCTCATGCCTGTAATTCCAGCACTTTGGGAGTCTGAGGTGGGCGGATCTCGAGGTCAGGGGTTCGAGACCAGCCTGGCCACTATGGTGAAACCCCATCTCTACTGAAAATACAAAAATTAGCTGGATGTGGTGCGGGCGCCTGTAATCCTAGCTACTTGGGAGGCTGAGGCAGAGAATCGTTTGAACCCGTCAGGCAGAGGTTGCAGTGAGCCGAGATTGTGCCACTGCATTCTAGCCTGGGTGACAGAGAGAGACTCTGTCTCAAAAAAAAAAAAAAAAAAAATTGTTCAGAACAAAAAGGGGCTTGTTATCTCACCAAACAGAAAGCCAAGGTGAGGCAGTTCCAGGGCTGGTTATTTTAGCAGCTCAGCAATGGAACTGGGCATGCAGCCTAGGGCATTAGCTTGAACTCTTCTATTTGTTCCCCTCGGCCCCAGGGTGGCCACTTAATTCCTAGATCACCTCTTTGGATATTTCCATACAGAGGTAGAAGGTTTTCCTTGCACGTCACTTCCCAGAAACCTTCCCAGCAGATTTTCCCCATCTGCCTATGCCTAACCTGGTTAGAGCAAGAGGAATGAAATTACTTTGGCTTAGATTCATCAAGACTTTCTCCTTGGAGCAGGGGATGGGGAGAACATGTCTGATGACCTGAACCCTGGAGGAGGGTAAGGAACTAAACAGGCCTCCAAAAGCAAGGACAATAGAAGGAGGAATGGATTTGGGTAAACCAACTGCCTACTTCCGTTTCCTTGAGACATGGCAAGATGATTATAATTATTGCCACTTACAGCAGAGGAAGCAGGTCAAGATGTTATTTTTTTTTAGGGTTTAAATGTTACTGTTAAATAAAACCGAACTGAGTTCTGGGCCCTAATTATGATACTTAATTGATTTTGTTCAAATGAAATAAAAGATCACAGATAAACGAGAAGAAATACCTTTTGGTTCTCTGATGGTTCTACTCAACGTTACATGTTTTCTTCCATGAGATGTTTTTTTCAAGTTAAAATTAATTGCATGTACAGAATGCTTGCTTTATGGAGAGCAGTTTCATGTAACATAAGCTGGATAGTAAACCTACATAATCTAGGTTTGGGCTTTTTCTTCTTACAAGTACATTGTCAAATGGTCCCAGATTGAATTATAAAATTCTTTCTAATGTTAGAACATGAAGTGTTTTTAAGAATTATCTGGTATAGCCGGGCGCGGTGGCTCAAGCCTGTAATCCCAGCACTTTGGGAGGCTGAGGCGGGTGGATCACGAGGTCGAGAGATCGAGACCATCCCGGTCAACATGGTGAAACCCCGTCTCTACTAAAAATACAAAAAATTAGCTGGGCATGGTGGCACGTGCCTGTAATCCCAGCTACTCAGGAGGCTGAGGCAGGAGAATGGCCTGAACCTGGGAGGCGGAGGTTGCGGTGAGCCGAGATCGCGCCATTGCACTCCAGCCTGGGTAACAAGAGCAAAACTCCGTCTCAAAAAAAAAAAAAAAAAAAAAAGAAAGAATTATCTGGTATAAGAAATATTTTAACTATGAGGCTGATAGTTAATGGAATAACTGTTAATTATGGAGTAACTCTATAACCAATATATATTCAATGTATATTAAAGCCAGTCTTTGATCTTTTTTCCCTGGCTGTGTCTTCACAACTGAAATTGCCAAGTATGGCTACTGCATTTCACAGGCCACTGTGTTTTCGCTCTGTACATCCACACTGGTTTATTTTATTTTACTGTTTTACTTTGTATTTTATTTTTCTAGAAATGGGATCTTGCTGTCTTGTCCAGGCTGGAGTTCAGTGGCACAGTTCTAGCTTGCTGCAGGCTTGGACTCTGGGCTCAATTGATCCTCCCACCTCACCCTCTTAAGTAGCTGGTACCACAGATAGAAGCCATTAGCCTGGCTAAGTTTTAAAAAATTTTTGTGGAGATGGGGTCTTGCTGTGTTGCCCAGGCTGGCCTCAAACTCCTGGGCTTAAGTGATCCTCTCATTTCAGCCTCCCAAAGTGTTGAGATTGCAGGCATGAGCCACCATGCCTGGCTCCCAGTGGTTTATGTGGAACACATGGAGCCAAGAAACTGACTGTGTGTGAGTGCCTTTGTCTTTGCAGCCAAAACAAATCACAGATTCCCACCTGTCAGATTTGGCATTTTTCCTTCTCTAGCATATCACATAAACTACCTGTTGGAGAGGATTTTAGGAGAAGGCAGTGAGCCCAGCTGCTTCCTTCTGTCTACTTCAGCTTGCTGTGCCAGGAGTTCTTCTTGCTTTACTTAGAGGGACATCTAATCTTAGGCATGTGGTGCAAATATGGACCACCAGGACACAGTGCACAGGACATTTTTATTAAAGAGGAATTTTTTTTTTTTTTTTTATTTAGCTGGCATATATAATATAGTAAAATGTAACCACTTGCCAGGATGGAATTGGAAGGGTTTGGTGTGAACATGGAAAAGGCCATTTGCTAAAAATGGGTACCTGCAATGAATGTGCAAAGCCAATTGTTTATTATTAAAAAAATAAGAAAATATTGTATTACATATGCTGTGCTTTGAATTCTGCAAGACATTTTGTTGCGTGATGTGGTTGAGGAAGTGATAAGAATGGTAATCTCCTTCAGGTCTGTGTCCTTAACTGTGCGTTGATGGAACAGTTAAAGGGGCGTGAACCAGGTAGGAAAGATTTAAGGCTAAGCCATCAAGGTGAATTGAAGACGTTAACTGAACTGGCACGTCAGGTAAAGGCTTCTTGGCTTAAGAGAGTCGTAAGAGGCCCAAATGATGGTCCCCTAGGAGCTCACAGAATTACCCTTTCTGACGGCTGCGCTCAGTTTGAATCTGCAGAGAGAATGAGCTTCTGGCCCCTGTTTTCATGGCGGTGCAGAGACTCAGGTTACACTGGTTATGTGGACTGAGTAGACAGCATCTGGGAACTCCATTCTTCCCCAGTACTGCATTGCCCAGAGCTCAGGATGGACTCGAGATTTCAAAGAGATGCAGGGCTCTCGAGTGGAAATTGAATTAGAACTTCAGAAGGGATTTTCAAACTTTTTGAATATAAATCCTGCAAGAGCAAACAACTAGCACATGCAGACAACCAGCAGTAAGAGGGCGTGGTGACTCTGAGGACTGACTATGTTAGGGTGATGAGAGTAGGGGAGTTGGAGAGAGGAGGTCAGGAAGCCTTGGCACGGTGTAGACAGTGAGCCGCTGGCCAGTTTTCTGTTCTAGGGAGACTTCATGAGCAGACACCGCTGGCACACAGTCTTGAAGAGGACCCTGTGTGAGGTGACGGGTGCTCCAAGGAGGGCATAGGGGAGTTCTTTTTCGAGGTTCTTAAAATTATATAAGGGAACATGTATAGTCAGAACCACCCAGGAAAGTCCCTCAGGAAGGGAGTCGGAGGTTGCCGTGAGCTGAGATTGCGCCACTGCACTTCAACCTGGAGACAGAGCAAGTTTCTGTCTCCAAAAAAAAAAAAAAAAAAGAAAAAAATCCCTCAGGAAGGGCCCGTTTATACAGCTCTTAATCAGTGGAAGGAAATGGATATTCTTTCAGCGTGAAGGAACTTTCTTCTGTACCAGCTGGGGTGGTGACTTCCGTTTAGGATTACAGTGCAGGGAAGCTGGGGTGGTGACTTCCGTTTAGGAGTACAGTGCGGTGCAGCTGGGGTGGTGACTTCCGTTTAGGAGTACAGTGCGGTGCAGCTGGGGTGGTGACTTCCGTTTAGGATTACAGTGCAGGGATGTTGGGTGGTGACTTCCGTTTAGGAGTACAGTGCGGTGCAGCTGGGGTGGTGACTTCCGTTTAGGAGTACAGTGCAAGGAAGCTGGGGTGGTGACTTCCGTTTAGGAGTACAGTGCAGGGATGCTGGGTGGTGACTTCCATTTAGGAGTACAGTGTGGTGAAGCTGGGGTGGTGACTTCCGTTTAGGAGTACAGTGCAGGGAAGCTGGGGTGGTGACTTCCGTTTAGGAGTACAGTGCGGTGAAGCTAGGGTGGTGACTTCCGTTTAGGATTACAGTGCAGGGATGCTGGGTGGTGACTTCCGTTTAGGAGTACAGTGCAAGGAAGCTGGGGTGGTGACTTCCGTTTAGGAGTACAGTGCAGGGATGCTGGGTGGTGACTTCCGTTTAGGAGTACCGTTAGGTGCCTGGGAACACACATTGTTTATTAGGTTGCCCTCGGCCCAGGACTCTGCTCCCAGTCCCTGTATGTTGAAGCTGAGGCCACCTGAGAGAAATCAGACTCCCGGAGCCAGTACTCATTAAGGAGCCGGGGCAGACATTGTATTACTCAGGTAGTTATGTCGCCTGCTCTCATATTTGACCTCATTGTTCTGGCTTGTACCCTCCCTAGCTTTTGTATGCCATTGCTTTCTTGGAGCACATACAGTTGGTTGGGGTAAGTTACAGATAGTTAGTAGAGATATACAGGAGGTAGAACTGATGGGTCCTAGTGATGAGAGTTGGTAGTGGTTAAGAGAGAAATCTAGGATGACGCAGATTTTGAGTTTGGGTAGTGCATGGGTGATAATGTGATTGGTTGAGATGGGAAACTTGAGAAGAAACTCACTTGGGGAAGAGCAGATGAAGGAGGACAGTTTGGTTTTGTACATGCTGAGGTCTAAGGGTGTCACTGGGCTGCATGGGTAAAAAAGCCGAGGAGCAGCCGGCTCCAGGCTGCAGATGTTGATGTTGAGAGTCGGTAGCATTTACGTGTTGATTGTTGATGGAGAATCAACGCTGATGACTAAAAATAAAACATACCATCCTTGGTATTTTAGAGATGAATGTATGAATACATGATTT